CATATTTTCTACTGATTCTGTTGCTCTAGAAAACCTAACCAATACACTGCCTGTGCTTTCCACCTCCTGAGAAAATCCTACCCAGGGTTGTCAGTGACTCAATGTAGATGCCAGGTACTGCTGGGAAGAGCTGGGAGCTGCACAATTTGTGGTGCTGGTGTGCAGGGTCTGATGCAGCTGGTGGAGCCCCACCCCACCTCATCCCAACTGTACTTGCCTTCAGGAGGGTTCCAGAAAGGATCTCATCTTCTTTTGGAAAGAAGGGCAATTTTGTAGCATATGTGACTACAATTGACTCAAACAGCTTGCATTTCCCACTAGGCTCTTGGAAACCTCCTAAACCTGAAGTTTGCCTCTTCCTGCCAACATTACTCACTGGCTGCAAAATGATAAAATAGTAGTTCAGGCCATGGACTCCTCTTCAGCCAGAATGACTGTGACCCAGAAAGAAATGCTGTCCTTGATGTAATTTTAAGGAGTGGGAAGAGAAAATAAGTTACAGAATAGTCATGTACAATTTAGTGTCATTTGGGTAAAGTACAAGCTATGCATATATGTTCAAATGTATTCCTGAAGAGGTCTGGAAAAGAGAAGCACAAATTCTCAACTCCCACTGGGCTGTATATGTTCCTGCAGCTGACCCCAGCCCTTCCACAAAAATGTAAAGTGTGTTAGCAGACTTGCAGGAACCTAGGCTCCAAGCATCCTAGGCCAGCCAGGTTACTAAGGGTTTGCATACCCGTGAAAAGCAAGCTAGCTGTTCCAGGCAGGGAAACCATCGGAAGAACCCATGAGAGCTCTCCTTTCCTCTCAGCCTACAAAATGGTTTCCTTTCCTCTTTGTCCCCAGCCCACAAACAGGGAGTTAAAAGGACACAAACACCAGAAGTCCCTGCTGCATAAACAAAATCAGTGGGGACGCAGGCACAATGATGACACAATCATGCTCCAAGCAGACAGGAAGCCTAGCCCCAGCTAAGTGGCCCCCATGCCCACAGACTCACCCACTTTCAAAGCTGCTGGCTTCTGCTTATTTAATCAAGGGCTCCATCTGGAGCTCCAAATTTCTCCTTGAAAGTCAAGACCTCAATTTCCCAGGGACTGAGGGACACCTGGAGAGATCAGCACAGACACCTGGAGGTGACAGAACCTACTGAGAAGGCCTTTGTGAACATCCTCTCTAATACCCACGACCCTGTCCCCCCATCAGGGATCCTGCCCCACCCCTTGCAGAATGTCCTGAGCTGTGGGGTGGGACCAGAAGAAGAGCAAGAAAGGGGACCCTAGCCCTGGCCTCCTTGGGTTTGGCAAGTAAAAGAGTGAGATGAGAGGCAGAGGGTGGAGACAAGAGGCAAGACCCACGGTCCAGCAAGAGCTGCGAGTGTCCTGCGTGATGCTGGTGCCCAGGGCTCTGGGCGGAGCAGCCGCAAGAAACTGACAGAGGCTGGGGATGGGACTCCCTTCCAGCCCCTGTAGCCAGGGAAAGATGGGAGTGGATGCAGCAGGCATTGCTCATCACCCTGGCCAGCAATAGAAGGCCCTGGGGGACACGCAGTGGCCAGGCTGAACAGCACTCAGAGAGGACCTAAGGGGACAGACAGACTCTTCCCAGGGCTACAGAGGGGTGACTGTGGCATCCACCTCAGCATGCCTCATCATAAGCCTAGCACTTCAGTCCGCACACAGGTCAGCCACAGAGACATGCAGCCCCTCAGCAGCTACCAGACAAGAGGAACTCAAAAAGAGCCCAAGCGAGGATGGTATGCAAAACATGGACACCGTGCTGCACTGAATCAAACCTGAAATCTTTCTGTTGTTTTTCCAGCTCAAAGGGATTTGTTTTTATTGCTTGAGGCCAGGGGAGTTGTAGCAAAATACAAGGTGTGATCATAAAATATAGTAGATGTTTATAAAAATGTATTACCGTAAAAGACATATTGCCATTAGTCCACCTCAAGTTATCCCCCTCTCTCTGAACACACTTAACCCATCATTCTTACAACCTTCTGAAGCGGTTCCAGAGTATCCTTTAGTTACACAGTCGTGGCTGCCTTGATGTCCTGAACCCACTCAGAATGTTTACTTTTCATGGTTTTGACTTGGAGAAGAGCCAGAAGTTACACAGAGCCATATCTGGTGAGTAAGGTGGGTAAGACTATTCCATAATATTTTTATGAGCCTGCCCCCCACTTTGGATGACATTCAGCAGCAGTGTTCACCATATTTTTTATCAAGTCTCATGAAGACACAAAAGAGGACTTCTAGAACTGGTTCAGAAAATAAAATGAGTGTGTTCAAAGCAAGAAGTGTTTTAAAAGAGATTCATGACAATGTATTTTTACTGTAACTTTTTAATTAAACATACACCATATATTTTGAGCTCACCTTGTAGCTCTCCATTCCTCTTTAGATTTCGTTCCAAACGGAGACAGATTCTGTGATCAGCAAGTCAAAAAGAGAATTTTGTGAGAGTGGAGGAAGGCAGGGAAAGCATAAAAGTGGAAATTGTTTGCCCTTCCCTTTTCTGGCTCAGGTTTCTTTTTTCTAGCACCCAGCTTCAAACATCCAAAGTGAACACATTTGACCTTTTACTGTGGGGACCCTCTTAAGAGAACCTTAGTGAGACTTATCAAGTGAAGGATCCCATGGAGATTCCAGATAAACTCCTGTTATCCACCTTGACCTGGAGCTTACGAAGTAGCTAATTTTAGGGTGAGTTTCAAATCCACCGTCAGCAAGAAATACCACAAGCCGCAGCCCTCAGCACACTGAGACAACCTGGATCCAGCAGTGGGATGAGCAGGCTCTCTCCTCACAGTGCCAACAGGGACCAGCCAGGAGGTGACACTCAAATGCCATCACCTCCTCTGCACCAGGACAGAAGGGGCCTCAGGGAGGGGGGATTTTATAGACAATATAGAAAGACAGCAGAGGAAAAGGAAGACTAGAGGGAGAGAGAGAAATGACAAGAATTGAGCTAAAAAACAGAGGAGAATTATTAAAAGCCTGGTAGAAGCACTTAGACTTGGTTGTTAAAATAAAACTCACTGCTTCCAAACTCTGACTATGTCTGGCCTTTTAAAAAAATCAAGATTGTAACTCCCATCCAGTTCAGATAGTTGCCAAACATCTAAATACTAGTTTATCTCACTTTGCAAGTAAAAGGGCTCCCTTGAAAAGATGTCCATAAATCCATTTAAGTGATACTTTATACTAGATATGATCAAAAACTATACTGGGTATTTAATTTTTAATGTATTACAGTAAAAGATAAGTGTGCTTGAACATACAAAGGGTATTCTGAGAGATTAATGGTAATGTGTCTTTTACTGAAATAAATTTTTTAAAATTTAAACAGTCACCAGGTAATTTGATCATACTTTATATGTACCAGAAAATCGTGTTTATGACTATCATGAATGTTTTGGAATCTTCTAGATTGTATTTATAGACCCACATATTGGATGTCTTTAAAATTTCCCAAGTCATGTAGGAAATGGGTGACGAAATGCTAACCCTTAAATAACTACCCATGTTCATGAGAGTGTAGAAATTAAGCATGAAATCCTCCACTTTCATTTTGATGGACCTGTGGATTTCAATACATTCAATCTTGGGGAGCCGAGAAGTTGGTGCCATACATCAAAATGCTGATATTACTAAGGATGGGAACAGAAAGGTCATGGAAGACCCAAAATGAACAATTTGTCTCTGGCATTGATGAGACCTGACAAATCTAGACTGAGTAGTATGTTTTCCTTAGCATGATTTCCTCTTTGCTTTCACCCTGGACATATGTTGTTACTCCATGCGTGTAACTGGATTGTCTTATTAATTCCACACTGGAAATTCTGCAGCCACGTTAATATTTATTGAGCGCCCACAATGTGTTAAATACAGTTCAAGTCCCAGCCTGGGGAGCTTCACACAGTGACTCAGCAATATAAGCAGCTTACACACACAGCAAAGACACGAACACACGGAGGTAAATCAGTCAAGGACCCCTGCTTCAGAAACACAGGCACTGCCATGGCACTGCTGACCTCTCCTCCATGAGGGATGGGCCCTGTGTTTGTTGTCATCCAGCCTGGGTCCCTAGAGGTCAGTTCCTCACTTGTATTTAAAGAAAACGACTAGATGTCCAGGAATACAAAGAGGATACACGGGCTGACTAGCCTACCTGAGAAAATAAAAATAGAAATGCTACCCCCATACGAGAGCAGCCTGAAAATCCAAAAGAACAAAACCTCAGAAAGTTTACATCAAGAAAGATTGCCACCTTAGCATCTCTCACAGTTGCTTTCTCCAGGTTACGGTTGCCAACACATATGGAAACACTCCTCCACTGATTTAGTGAGATAAGTCTATTGATTGGCTGCCAAAAGTGAGACCCAGTGACAATGCTTACAAAAAGGATTGCAGGATCTCCTGTAGGGCTAGGGAAGGGCTGCTGCCAAGTCCCAGACTGGCTCCATTCCCAGCTTCACTCCTGCCTGAATCCCTGCAGGAACAGGCCTCGGTGCACATCCTGATATTAACTAAAACGAATTACAGAATACAATTTCTTACCTACAGTACTATGTGGATTTCTCTGGAACTCATCTGAGGGATGTTTTTTAACAGGTCAAGTTTGTTTCACAAACTAGTCTTAAATGGATGTTACATGGGGTGACATTTAATTAGTTACTTGGTATTTGCCAATTTTCACAATTTGTAAAGATGTTTCTAAGCCTAGCATAACTCTCCCCTTCCTTAGGCTCTCACAAGTCCACACAAATGTTTAAACCTGATATTGTAGACACAAGAGAAACCTGCAGTAGTAATTCATAGAGATGGTTTTTTCTCAAATTTGATACAGGTTTAAATCAAGCTAATCAGGAAACATTCTAATTTTTTAACAACCTGACAATGAGGGTTTGAAATAATTCATGGCATATAACTTCACAGTGTAACCTAAAGTCAATTAATGTTTCTTCTAAACTGATTGGATTTATACAGTAGCATCTTACAAAGGAAATAGGTGAGGAAACTTGAATTAACGCCTATATCTTCTGATTACAAGAATTTCCCTTTCTGTGACAGATTAGGTGTTGTCTGAAAAGTGAAGATGTATCCTCCAAGTTTGGCATGCAATTCGGTGTCAAGTTGAACTCCAAGATCTTAACTTTGGCAGGTACAACTGAAGCTTCCTTCAGATGCATTAGAAAAGAGGATTCTTCTTAAAGTGCTAAATTTTGAATGCATGATAAAATCACTGAAAGTGCTTTGAAAAAATGTGGATGCCCAGGGAAAATAAATTAGACTTTCTGGGGAAAGGACTGGGCATCAATGTTTTGTAAAGTTCTCCGGGTGGTTCTAAGAGTAACCAGGACTGAGAATCAGTGATTTAAACCTCCCAACAATTATACCAAAATTAATCAAATCTCTCTCTGATTTATTCAATTCTTTTCTCCTATCCCCTACACTCTGCACAAGTACTTATCAAAAAAATGCTCTGGCTTTGAACCTCCCAATCAACAGGTGCTTGGGAACACAGGACCCAGTCCCTGAGATGCCTAGGAGAAGAGCTCATGTGAAGACAGGAGACTTAATGCTGTGCTATTATGCTGTGGGGATGGGCTGCATAATGAGAGTTCTCTAGTCTATAGATGAAATTCAAAATCAGTGTAGTGCTATCGCCAGAGGTTATTTCCATCTCCTACCTGAATTTGCCTTGTCTTTTCTCCCAATCCTGTGCTCTTCTCCACACTACAAAAAGCCTTACCCTGTAATGATTAAAGACTCATGGCTGCCAATCAAGAACCCTCGCTCTATCGTCATAGTTGACATTGGTCTAACAGAAATCCTTGTCATTCCAGTACTGTCCCCTTTCCTTGCATTTCAGAGCGCTTTAATGTGTGAATGAACTCCTATCTTAAGTCAGTAGAAATAAAAGGAAGGGAGACCCTGTTTTTTCTATTTAGTGAGCCAGGGGAGCACTGGAACCCTACAGATGGTGCTGAGTTGCTGCAGACCCTAGTTCATGCCCCACAGGGCTGATCTGACATCTGGATATTGTGTGTCAGTTCCCAAGGCTCCTGTCCTGGCTGCCTCAGTTGCTGTTCCAGCATTCATCATGGAGACCCTGTCCCAGAGTTGTTGTCTTCATGAACCATACTTCTAACAGCCTAAAGTGATGATTATAAGCCTTGTGTATGCCCAAGAGTCTTCATCTGTTCCCTTAACCCTGACAGCAATTAATGCTGGACCTAGTAATCTTGTGGGTTGCATTGTATGTTTTTATGCTGTCCTTACATAAACTCCCAGTCCTTGTATTCTGGGTTGATATTTTCTGGATGTCTCCAAAGAGAAGGTGCTGAGCCGTCAGATGACAGCTGCTGATCTGTTGCAATTGAGCACTTAGAGGATACAGGAGAATGCAGTGGCCCACAGCTTACATTGAGCATTCAGAAAATCAAATATGTGAGGCTACCTTGTGACAAATATGGGCTGCATGCACACACATACACACGCACACACATAGCATGTCTGTCTTTATGTACAGTTAAAACTCCCCTAAGTGAATTGAGCCTTTTCCCCTTTAGCTATTTATTCATTGACTAATTCATCTCATCATATTAAAGTGGTAGATAGGGGGAGAGAAGAGGGAAAACAAAAGCAAGGCCTTTTAAAAGGCAGTTTGTAAGTGGCTTTGGTCTTGTAAATTCAATCAGTCTTAACTCTAAAACACTTTTGGTGCCCAAAGGTCTTATTCACAAAGTGCTGAAACCCTAGATATGATTTGTAATACATATTTACCTAAAATCCTAGAGATGCAGGGGTTCAAGTTAGCAACACAATGTCAGGTGTTATATCTCAGCTGAGTCCCTTTAAAAGGGTAAACTGAAAATCACTAACCAGCCCAACACCGAGGTTTTAAATCCCACCCACAGTGTTCCTTTATTACCACTGAGCAAGTGGAAAAGATAGCAAGCACTAGAACCAAATCCTTCCGAGGGAGGATTTGTTTGGCTTTCTAGGGCATGAAGAAGAAATCACAAATCCTCTTCCCTCTCCCTGGCCTCTTCCACACCAAAGCCCACTTAACATTTTACAAAGACACAAGAAGGAGACCGACAAGAGGGCTGGGCTGGAAGCCCTGCCCCGTGCTGTTTTAACTCTGGTGCTGGGAATCCGGACTCTAGTCCGACCTCTGAGGCCAGCGCACGGGAAGTTCCCCAAGCCAGGTCTGGCACCCCAGTATCAAATGATCACGCTGACGGTCATGCTTTGTCCGTGGGGCGCGATCTTCCGGGGCCAGGTGAGCAACAGCTTGCGCAGCTCCTCGCGGAAGCTGTCGTGCAGCCAGGCGTAGATGAAGGGGTTGTAGCAGGCCGAGCTCATGGCGAGCCAGTGGCACAGCAGCTGCACCAGCCCGAAGGCGTAGGGGTCTATGGCGCGCGGGTCGAGGTCCCGCAGCAGGTTGAAGACGTGCAGCGGCAGCCAGCAGACGGCGAACACCACCACGACAACCACCAGCAAGCAGAAGGTGCGGCGGCGGCGCGCGCGGTCCCAGTCGGCCTGGCTCTGGGTCACGCAGCCCGGCACCACGCGGTTCCGGAGCTTCACAGACACCCGCACGTAGGACAGGAGGATGACCAGCAGGGGGAGCAGGTAGGTGCCAAGCAGCAGCCCCCAGGCGTAGAGCTGGCGCTGGCGCTCCTGAGCACCCCAGAACTCCTCGCAGAGGCGCACGTCGTGGGGCTTGAGCTCGACGTGGAAGGTGTGCAGGGCGGCCGGCAGCGCCAGCACCGCGGACAGCGCCCAGATCGCCAGCACCGCGTAGGCGCTGGAGCGCAGCGAGATGCGGCGCCGCAGCGGGTGGGCCAGCACGACGTAGCGGTCCACGGCGATCGTGGTCAGCGTGAACACCGACACGTAGACGGTGACGGGCTGCAAGAAGAAGACCAGGTGGCACAAGCCGCCGCCGAACACCCAGCCACGTGGCTCGAAAGCGTAGGCCAGCGTGAGCGGCACGCAGGCGGCGCACATGAGCACGTCGGACAAGGCCAGGTTGCCGATGAGGAAGTTGGTCACGTTGTGCAGCCGGCGCACCCGCGCGATCACCAGCACCAGCAGGCAGTTGCCCACCAGCCCCACGACCACCACGGCGCTGTAGAGCAGCACGATCAACCCCTTGAGTTGATGGACCAGCTGCAGGCTCTGGAAGGGCGTGAGGGCCTGGACGCCCGAGCCCGCTGTCGACTCGTTGCCCACTGAGGCCTCTGCGCTTTGGTTGGCTGAAATTGTTGCCGCCGGCGGCAGCCCAGAAGACGAGTCGGGGTCCCCAGGGTTTCGAATGGGCAGGGAGGCCATGCCACCTGTCCAGAGATAACCAAGTCCGTCATTTCACATTCTCCGTCTCACTCCTCGGCCACTCCCCAACCCATCCTGGCCCATCACCAAGTCCTCCCCCTGCAATGACTGGACATACAGCAACAGGACAAAGTGCCGTCCTTCCATCCCCGTAAAATAAACCTAAGCACGGTTAGATAGGCACAGGTCATTTAAACGCCCCTGCTCAATTAGCCCTCATGAGCCACGCAGCCCAGACCCAGGAGCGAGTCCTACCTGTGCAGGGCGCTTGGCAGGCGGGAAAGCGCTCCCGGAAGGCAGGGGCAGGATTCCTACTGTCCCTCACCAATCCTCCCCACTACGATGACCTAAGCTTCTCGTTTCTCCACGGAGCTGAGTTCCCAGCCGCAGCCGCTTTTGAGAGGGGCTGGGAGCGCCTCCCCTCCGCCCCGCCCCCCACTCCAGCGCTCCCTTGTATGGAAACTGGGGGCGGAGCTCGCGCCGCCCAACTCCGGGTTTAGAGAACTGGGGCCGGACGGGGGTTCGGAAACCGACCCGAGAAGCGAGGGGCAGTCTGGATCTCGGGACCCTGCGGAGCCTCTGGAGAATCCGATCCAGCGTACTGTGGATGAGGACAGGAGGGACCGGAAGCGCCAGGCTGTAGGGACGCCTTGATGCAGTCTCCCGGGAGAAGAGTCGGGGGACGAAGTGTTGCTGGGGGGTGAGATGCACCAGGGAACACGGGGGGTGGGGGTCGACCTGTCCTCCAGCTCTGGGTTGCGTAGAGTTCCGGCCGCGGGTGACCGAGTCTGTCACAGGACTTCGCAGTTTAGAGCCTGGGACTCGTCGCGGACTTTATCTCGGACCTTTGGGTCTTCGACTTCCCTCGGACTTTTGACTGTTTTGCTGGGCTGCGGCGCGCTTTGCAGGCACCGGGAACCGACCAAGCCAAAGGAAGGGTTCAGAACCATGGACAGCTGCCGTCGGACCAGAGAGCTGGGAGGAAGCCCTGCGGGTGGGACGCCCTACCGTGGGTGGGAAATCCTTTCTCCTGTTGGGTCCCAGGCGCTCGCAGGAGGGACCCGCTGGCTCAGAGAGCTGCCACGCTGCTCGGACTCAGAGAAGTGAAGGGTGGACGGAGGCAGACGAGCCGGTTCTGCAGAGACCGAAGGATTGCTGACTCGATCCTGCGCGTGCGAATTGACGCACATGGTACAGAGCCGTCTTTGACCTTACCCTGCACACACACACACACACACACACACACACACACACA